AAAAATGTTTTAGATAGTATTAGTAATAATACAATTGTAAAAATATATCAGAATATAAGACATCGTCAAATACAATTGTAAGAACTTTAAATCTTTTTTTGGCTTATACGACTCGACCCGATCCGAACTCGCAACTAGTAGTATTGTTTATTTTTATTTTTTTTCATTTTCTATCTGTTTCATTTAAATAGTGAACCACATAGTTTTACGTTTTACACTTGTCAGTGTATGATCCAGCAACAAATTGAAAAATATCTTTTGAAAGCGTTGTCCCTTGATACAAAACTCAGCATGGCGAGCTTAACTAGGTTTGAATTTCTTTTACTAATAAAATGCTAAGATATTTTGATAAATTTAAACAAATAATTTAACATTTGGCATATTTATATAACTACCATATATCTATTATTTAATGAACACACAAAGTCTTTATAGTAAAGGGATAAAGAGAATTTAACAAGTACATGAACTTATAATGCATATTTCATATACTTGAGAAATAATTAAAAAAGTTCGTAAAACAGTAATTAAAAAATTTGGGCCCTATTTCGGGTCAAGCCCATATATAGACATAAAGTAAACATCCTTTTGTCTTTACGTTAAACGACACATACACGATACATTACATTCTATAAATAATGGCCCAAAAACGAACACACGTCGTCCAAACAACAAAATAACGTCATTTTAATTCTTATTAAATGACATTTTTTTTCCTTTATAACCATGTAAATGTTCTCTGTAATATTCCAATTTGTTAAACATGATTTGGGTGAAACTGTCCAAAATCCAATTAATAATAAGTTTTGTAAAGATTTCCATTTGAATTCGTTAAATATGATTTGGTAAATAAGTGTTGACAATATGTTAAAACCAATTATAACTTATTAAATATGATTTGTTAATTTGTAGCGAACCTCACCTAAACTAGACCTCTCTGCCATACAGATATAACACTCAGCTTTAATAGACTCTCTGCAGCCACACGATACTTCATAACATGCAAGAAGAAAAATCTTGTTGGCTATCCCAACCCTATAAATTTCATTCGCCACCAAGGTTCCACGAAAGCTATTCATTCTAAACTTTCAATCCTACATTCACCTCTCAATCATTACTCATACTAACTTCAGTGTCAAAGCGTAATCTCGGATTCCTAACAAATTTAAGAAATCCGTATAGACAAAGGTAATTAACATCCAACAAACAAAAGAAGTAAACCTACTTGAAAGATGCACATGGTTATGGTCCCTGACTCCTTTCCCCTCCCCCACCATACACACAAACACACACAATGCACCATGTGGACAAACCTGGTTGCAAGCATATTATTAGTATTTGTGAATGTAGTTCGTACCCAAAAAGAATTATTGATATGATAGTTTGGCTATCTTCGCTTTCAACTTTGTCCAATGCCTTTAATACCCTAACATTGGGTGAATACATGTCCTCATCAAACCACTAGCTTAATCCATTATAAGAAAGCACCACGATATCACAAACGACAATACCAATAAATGACATGACAATCTACCACTAACACAACTCATTATTTGAATTATGCCACAAAGCGACACTCAGCGGTTTGTTTTTCAGTGAGTTAAGCTTTAATTCACATTTTTATTGTATAAAAATTAATTGTGTGAGTTTGAATGTAATTTTATTTTTGGCATCTATCCAGATGAAACTTACAAATTGATTATGATTGTTTGGATCAGAAATTATTTAATTTATGATTTTATAAACAAAGAACAATTTTTGATGAGTTCCAAACGCTATTGGTAAAGTGTTTGATGATCCATGTAGAAAAACTATGAGAGTAAATAAGAAATCCTACATCTAATGACTTAAATAACGACAGAACTGATTGAAACCATATATGAAGCTTGATTTGTCATGGAAAAAATAACAAAAAAAGAAAAGTCGATAATTGATCGATGAAGAAAGTTGGATAAGGAAATACCTAAACATGTGAAGGATGTAGCAACGACAATAGGAGCAAATCAAACCATATGTGGCACAGAATCAAAAACTAGATGACATTTAATGGCATTGTTGAGGACTACTTTAATGACATTTCTAATATATTTTAAATTTAATTCAATCACATAACACATTTATTTTATTTATTTATTTATTCTTTTTTCCAATCAGCTTTGTCCGAAAGGTTAAGCCTCAACATTCGGTGTCTCCTTTGGAAACAAGAAGGCACCCAAAACTCCAAAACCCTTGTTGGACATGAAAGAAAGATTCTAGAGGTATTGACCTAGTCAACAAAAATAAGAATAATAAATTAATTAATTAATAAATAAAGTAAAAATTGTCTCATATAATAACCATATCTATCAAAAATACCATAACACGACAATGTTCTTTAAAAATCCTAATTTTAAAAACTATATTATATTTTTTGAAAATACTAAAATGACTAATATTTTTGAACATTTTCCTTTTCTTCCAAAGTGACACATATATTTAATATTGATCTAGTACGAAAATCATGAACATATTTGAAAATCTTATGCTTGAAAATAATGAACACGATTCGAAAGTCTAATGCTTGAAAATACGTATCTAATTCGAAAATCATAATCCTGTTAGAAAATCACGATCCTATAAAATACTTTCAAGTTCACGTTGCTTATGTGGTTTAACGACTAAAGCTAGTAGCCAAGCATGTAAACCTGCTATCAACATTGTCCATTTTCAACAACTTTTGTTTTAAATATTCTCACATGTATGTTAAACACAAATACACATAAACTTCATCCCAACTTTTATGAAATTGTCCCTATAAGATTGAATGTACCGGTACTAATATTAATGTTAATGGGACAAAATTACATTTTTTTTGTATGTACCAAAGACAAACACTCTATTCATCTCCATCATAATAAAATGGTCCAAATAATGCAATTTTATTATATATTCTAGATGAGTTTGATCTAGGATTCTCTTACGCCTTGTTCCCGAGTTTTTTCGCAGATTCATTAAAGGAAAGGGAAGGAAAATTTTGACAGAAAGAAAGGGAGGTGAAGGAAAATATTCATTATTCCGTGTTCCCGAGTTCGAAGGAAATAAAAGGAAATGAAAGAAAATTTTGAAGTTTTGTGTTCCCGAGTTAGGAGGAAAAAGAAAATAAAACTTGAAATTTTCCTTCCCCTCACTCCCAAATCCGTCCAATTTGGGAGGAAAATTTGGAAGAAAAATATGACTCCAAAATCCTTCCCCTCCCCTCACTTTCCTTCCATTAATGAAACTTGGGAACACGGTTTTCCTTCGCCACCCCTCACTTTCCCTCCGTATCCTCTCATTTCTCTCCTTAAGTAGAACTCGGGAACAAGGCGTTAGGGAAAACAATAAAACGGTAACAAGTCGTAAACCCTACAAAATAAAAGAAGACGAGATGATAAATCAATAATTACCTACGATATATGCCTTGTACATAGTATATTTTATTCTCAAGTATTAACTCTATCCAAATAATTAACTTTT